AACTGAAAGAGGCAAACATAATGAAGTGTTATTTCTTTTATCTTGTTACTCAGTTGCATGAAACTAAATATTCTACATTGAAGAGCTTTTTCGTATTGCTTAAAAATCACATTTGAAAAAAGGAGCAAAAAATAAACCGCTTTCACGATTTGTAAGTGAATTTTTTAGCCTCGAATACTTATTCTATATGCTTAGATGGTCTTTGAATTGCAATGTCTGCTATTGTATCTTCATTCAAGTTAGGAACTTTTTCCTTTGAAAATAAATCAAATAAAAGAGTAAAGTTTTTACTTTTATAGGTTGAAAAGCAGAAGGTATTTTGTGTTTTGAGTCGTATACAAACAAAATCCTTTAAATAAATTATTGGAACTATATATATATAGTTGTATGATTCTATATGCACACCACTGAGTGCATTTTCAGTTTTAGATTTGTAAAGATAACAACATAACCGACTAAGGCGCTGCCAGAGGAAACATTCTGACAATAAAAAGTGTCACAAGACTACGTTAACCATATAAACCTCTAACGCACTGACAATAAAAAAATGTCATAAGTCTACGTTAGCCATATAAAATTCAAACGTTCTGATAATAAAAAGTGTCATAAGACTACGTTAGCTATAAAAAAAAAGTAACGCTCTGTTAATAAAAAGTGTCACAAGACTACGTTAACCATATAAACCTCTAACGCACTGACAATAAAAAAAATGTTATAAGACGACCTTAGCCATATAAAACTCTCAAAACATCATTGGTAACATTATTTTCATAAGCCTCATGTACACTAAAGTAGGTCATTTCCCAAAAAGAGGACTGAAGGCCGCCTGGAGGGGACACCAGTTTTAACTACTCGCACCAGTATACGGTAGTGTGTTGTCTGTCACTCAGTCAGTAGACACTAAAATGACGTCTTATAAGGGACACTTAAAGTTGCAATTTGGACTGTCGTGACATCAGTAAATTGCGCGCATGCCTTGAATCATGAGAAGAACTGTGCACTTTGTAGGCTACAACACAGCGTGCCATATGGACTTCTAAAGCAAGAAATAAAAATCTTTGTTACTCTTAATTTTGGTTTTATTTACTCTTGAAACAGAACTTTTTCGGGGACCCTGCGGAAGTACATCTAGTAATGTACATCATACACCTAATTTCAAAGGTAAATGATTAAAATATATGTCCTCTGTACGTCTTAATAAAGCTAGTGGATTAACACGATCTTAATTTATTGATTTTATGAATACGGTTTCTGAAGAAGAGAGAGAAATCACTTTTTTTAATCTACTTTAAAGAAAGTTGGTAAAATAATTTAAAGTAATATCTAATGTATATTTCAAAAGAAGTGTACGAATGGTATTTTATCCCTCGCACGTCGCACTGATAAATGAGTTGGTTTATAGTAGATTTGATGAAACCGTATATTACTTTTGGTTTGTATCTTTAATAATATAAGCATTCAGATAAGTTACTTCCATTTAATTTTATTATAATACTGCTTTTAGAGCTATCTATGTTTTATTGTACATCATAAGTGAGTGACGGACATACTCCATTCTTTTGTGTTTCGCACTGAGTTTAGAAAAAAAAATCCGTTAAATTTTTATTTAAATTTTGCTGTAACTATAATTCAGTTTCTGCATTTATTAATATTTTTGAACTAGAATGGTGATAATCTGAAACTATAGATAAGGTTTCATTGTGGTAATCTAGCAAATTAAGAGTCAAAGATAAATTACTCCTTACATCCTTTTTGGCTTCACTGCTCTTTCACTGAGGTTGGGATCGAACTATGATAGTGGAAAATCAACGAACCATTATCTTTGTATTCAAATGCCAGCAGCTCATTTGACAGTTATTAGTTTGCTAATTAGAATTAATTGAAAAGCTGATATTATGAACGTAGGTCTTTGCAATATTCAGGCCATAACTGTGCTCCCCTAGATAAAGATCCCTAATGGAATCGCTAGTATGTATCGGTCACACGCTGTAGCTTTCTAAGCCCCATTCTCAACCTGTCTGAATTTCATTGGAACACGGTAATGCGTTTATAAGGAAGACTGGACATGAGTTTGTTCAGTATACATGGGAATAATCCGTCACTCGGCTTTGTAATAGCGCTGAACACGAGAGCTGCTAGGTATGAAAGATTGATGTTTGACAAGTGTTAGTATAGAAGAGCGTGTTGGTAGGCGCTGGTTACGTCTGTGTCGAATATATATATAGTGTAAACGCTTTCTTGTTCGACAGGATATATATTCTGTCATTATCTGTAATCTTACAACATTAGCCATTTTTAGGTGTTCTCTATATACAGGATGTTAGTCTGAATGCGTGTGAAATCTGTCTGGGTTTTCATTTTTATGCGATCTGGAATAGCTGTGAATTAGGCTTAGAAAATTAAAATCACAGAATTAGCAAGAAGTATCAATACGTGTTGATTATAAATGAGTAATTCAAAGTCTTAGATTGAAAGAATCGTTTTGTTTGATACTTGTAAACTTAATTTTCGTTCACGGTGGCTGAAAATTGCCTATATTGCAGATTAGTTGTTGTTTTTTTTCTGTTTATTATTTCATGCTTTTATTTAAACTATTTGTTTGAAACTTTCGAAAAAATATCTGTGGTACTAATCATTAGTATGTTTATCATTTTCATGCAATGCGAATGAGCTTGTAATAACTTGTAGGTCAATTGTAGTGACAAAAGTCAACACTTTCGCGAGGACAAATTTTTGATTAGTAATTGATACCTTGTATATTCGTTAAAATGAAACACCATCCGACCAAAAAGGGGTGCCCCGTTTCTCAGCAGTAAGTCCGAACAATTATAACGCTAAAAAACCGGGTTTCGATATCCGTAGTGGGCAGGGCACAGATAGCTCATTGACAAAAAACAAACCTGAGCAAGTAAAATTACCGAAACTAATATCGGTGTTGTTGTCAGAGTTTCAAAAAATTGACTTATATTAGGGAAAGCTGTTATTCGAAACCATTTATCACATCATCTATAATATAACAGAAAAAACCCAACCCTAAAAGCCTACATACATCTTAGAGACTAATTTTGTTCAAATTCCTTAACTATAATGATTTAACGTTTCGATATAATACTTAATAACCAGAAATGGAGTGTGTTTTATTTTAAAATGGATTGAGCAAATTAATAAGTATTTTAGTCTAAATTTCAAAAATATCGTGCGCAGTAACTAAGGACAGTTAGTTACAGAATGTAGGAAATTTGTCCATCACAAAAAAATACTTAGTTGAATTTTATAGTTCATTGCCAAAGAGCACGGAAGAGCTCAGTTTCGTATTTTGCTCAGTTATAAAAAAATAATAACTTTCAGATATTTTCGGCAACACGTATTCATGTACGTTATTTATTACTTGAGTTATCTGCTCCATTCAGTCCTTCTTGTGGCCCGGCATGGCCAGGTGGTTAGAGAGCTCGACTCGCAATCTGAGAGTCGCGGGTTCGAATCCCCATCACACCAAAAATGCTCGCCCTTTCAGCTGTAGGGGCGTTATAATGTGACGTTCAATCCCACTATTCGTTG